ACACTTTTGAATGGAAAACTTAACTTAATCAACTCCAATTAGCTATAAAACATGTATTATTTTCCATGTCCTCGCCTGGGGTCGATTGAAAGGCTCCYGGTWGTGAAGCGATCATCTGCAATTGAGTTGCGGAAGTTTTTGGCTACCTGCTATCGAAGTTGAGCCAAAACAGTCCTTAGAACATGATTACTGCTTTATTTTTGGCTACACGCTAATGATCGTGAATGGAAGTGCCACAGGCGAGTTTGTATGTAGCTATAAATATATTGTTGGTATTTGTTTGAGGAAGAATAAGGCATCTAAATTTAGAATACACAGGAGTTACATTAATTTGAGTAAGGAATGGATGGTGTGGTATTCAGTGCCGGAAAAAAGATATCGAAGCCATTAGAGCAACTATTTATACAGTGTTTATTCAAATTCTGGAATCATAAAATCAAAGAAAAACTGTGATATTGATAGAAGAAATGAAAAAGAATTTGAAAATGCAGCTTTCTAGCCATCAAATTCATTCTAATACAAAGAGAATACATGTTGTAATGTAACTTAAATCATTGCTCATTCATTAAAAAAAACCTCGCGCTCGGATTCGTTCTAAAACAGGGGACTCGCAGGTTTTATCATGTTGTACTTTAGAACAGTTTTGCGATTTGGTTCGGGCGAAATTCCTTAATTAAAAGATCACTCGTGCAACTAAACTATCTCTCCTCATCTTGTCATATAAACGAGGCTAAGAGGATAAGGAATTAAAWGTTTTTTCCAAAGGAAAAGGGAAAACCTTTAACTGGAAAAAATGAGGAAAATTCCAAGAACCAATATTAGAATATTCAAAATAAAAAAAGGCCTAGAAAAATTATGGCAAATTGTAAGAAATARGATCATGGAGGGAGCAAAAAATTCAAAGATATGTTTAATTGTTAAAAGGGGAATAAACCATTTCTTAAAGTTTTTGTTATAAAAAGACAAAAGACAGCGTTCAGCTAATGCTATGTTCTTTTTTCTTTTTCAATTTGCTTCTCCTCACAAATAATGTTCAAATGTATAATTCCTCTATGCATGACAGTAGATGAACTTCAAACTTATACGAAACAAGATCTTAACTTGAAAATAATAGTAGAAAAGAGTAGAAAAGAGTAGAAAAGTAGTTTTGAAAAAAACAGAAACCGTGATACACCTCCCACGTGAATTCATCACGACCAAAATATCAAAGTTTCCAACTAAAATGTAACGGATATGACCGCCCACAAATCCTCTGATACTAACAAAAACCACTTAAGAACAAGGATTGAACGCCATCTGGGAAATTACATAGTTATAGCTATTTCAAAGAAGGCTTCGAAGACTGTATATTAAACATTATTCTGGGGATGTAGCTTCTAAGCGTTTCTGTTTAAATGCCCATGATAAACCGTCATCCCTTTCGAGGCGAGCTTTTGTATATTGTTAGAAATGAGAATACATCGTAATGTAAGCAAAAACCCCCTTTTTATCATCCCTTATGCAATAYGAATCGATATATTGTAAGATTCGTTCTTAAAATCGAAGGGTAGAAATTGGATTACGAATTGGATATTTGAAGTCACCTTATTTTGGCCATATATGAATTGAAAACATAATTTACAACACGACCGCATCGAATGCCGGTTAGGCCACGTCCCTTTAAGTTACTTCCTTAAGTCACTCTCTCAATCAAAAGGAGATCTAAAGATGTCAGTAAGACTTTCTGAATAGAAAAAAAAATTGAATTGAATACTATTGAATTGTATTTCTCATTTACATGTATTTATTGACATGTATTTATTTTGATTTCACCCAAATGAAAATAGCAAAATATATGATAAGAATATTTTTTTTCGTTCTCGTTTTTTTTTTAATTGTCAGCATGAYGCACCTGTTTTCAAAAAAGTCGACCCAAATAAATAAATAAAAAGATAAAAATAAAAAAAGAATTTTTTTACCCGATTTGAATTATAAGCCATTATAGTGTTCTACTTCTATAGTTCTGAACCCCAAAACGACAGGGAC